TTTTTATGGTTTTCTACTGCAAAGTTGTTTTTGATAGAATTAAAATTAAAAATAATTTAAATAAAAAAATTTATTAAAATTTATTAAAAAATTATTTTTTTTCAACTATTTGTAAATATTGTTTACATTTTATTTTTCAGAAAATCCCTTGGAAAATCCATAAAATCCTCAGTCCTGAAAATGAAGTTTAATTTTTTTTATAATATAAAGATAAATTTTTATTTTTATTTTATTGTTTTTTTTTTTAATAAATATTTTTGCTTAAATTTAAGTTTTTTAAATGCTTATTTGAGTGCTTATAATGATGTTTTTAAGTGCTTATTTAAGCGCTTATTTTAATGATTTTAGGTGCTTTAAGTCCCGAGCCCTGATTATAATATTATTCAACATCGGTCTAACCAGATCACAGATCTACAACCTAAAAACGAAACCGAGGCCCTAATTTTTTTCCCACAGGTTTACAATATAAGTATACGTGTGTATACAGTTTTTCTAATTTTTAATTTTTTTTTTGGATCTGTCATCACCTTTTAGGACAGTAAAAGTGCTTGGATTTTTTTCAGTAGTATCATTTCTGATAAGAAAGTGAATCTAGTTGGTACTTTAGGGGAGTCAAAAGTAAAATTTTTCCAGTAGTTTTCAAAAGCGCCGTGAAAAACAAAAGAAAAATGAAGGAAAAACCGGAATTTTTACACAATATCTGTTTTCGAAAAAATCGATTATGGTTTTTGGTACAATTCTTAAACAAATAACCGTAGGTACATGAAATGTTGACTGAATGTTTATATTATAATTTTCTATACACCATAATATTTTGAGCTGCTTACGGACATTTTCAACTTCTATTTTTTTTAGTTTTTTTTTCTATAAATATCAATAAAAATTTATTTGTTGGTTAAAAAAAGCTTGGAAATTTAATAGAAGGCTCCTAGTATATTGTTTCAAAGGTAGGTGAAAAAATTAAAAATCCAGTCACAATTTTTTTATAAGTATTTTAAGTTCAAATATTCAAAAAATACCTAAAATTGACGAAAATTTGCAAATTATTTTAGGTTAGAAAATCATAAAAAAAATTTTTTTTAATCTAAACGATTAATATTTGTTAATGTAAATTGTAATACAAGATTCCTCATAAGTTTGTGTCTACCTTTTTCAAAAAAAAAAAATGTCTGCAAGAAACTCAAATTAAATTTTTATGAGAATTTGAAATTCATATTTTTACAACATTTGATATTCACTCGATTTCTCAAGTAACGATTTTCTTATTTTATTGTAATTAAAAAACGAATGACTATTATAGATACTTAAAAATTTCACTGAATGGTTATTTTTTTTATGAATATCAATTAAGTTTTTTCTGTTGGGCCAAAAAGTGTAAAAATTTAATACAAGGCTCCTAAAATATTGTTACAATAGGTGAAAAATATTAAAAATACATAGGCACAATTTTTTTTCATAAGCATTTAAAGATCGAATTTTGACAAAATGTATCAAACTTAAAATTGAATAGTTATTTTTTAGTTAAAAATGTATAAAATGTTCAAATTTTATATCTATGGATTGAAAATTTAAAACAAGATTCCAGGTAAGTATTCTATTACCAAAAAATCTAAAACAAACATAAACACACGCAGTTTATTTTTATAGTCATTATAAGTTCATTTTGGACGAAATGACATATTAAAAACCTAGAATAACTGTTTTAGGTATTTTGTTGTGATTGTATATTATACATTATTATATATTGTATAATATTAACCTAACCTAATGGATATGTGATATGATTAATTTGGAATTTATTATAGGTCAATTTTTTTTTTAATACCATAGATAAGTGTATAATATGTCTTATACCTAGGCTGACATACCGTCTCCGATCAGAATCATTTTTCTTATACAATACATTGAATTCAAATGTAATACCATCCATTATACAGTGACCCACATGTAACCTACTGTACAGCAGAGTGACATCCACTTGCCCACCATTTTAATATTTTTTCAATTTTTGATTAGTGTTATCAATCAGTTTATTTTATCATTTTTGTTCCATACAAAAGTGAATAAGTGGTAACCACTATACATTATAAGGGAGTATTAAGTTTACACTAATAATCACTGAGATACAATGGCCAATGTTGCAAGAAAAATTATTTAGTTATATTTCTAAGACGGCCAATTTAACATTTAAATATTTAATCCATATTTATTGTCAAAAGTTGGAAAAAATGAGATTGGCCATTTTAGACCCAAGCCTCAGATATAATCTGTATATTATATTCCCTTATTTAATTTTATTCCATTTATTAAATTGTATTAAACTTTTTGTATCAAACTTACTATCGTACTTCAAGTTATATTTTCATTTTCATATTACTCATTACAATTTATTTCATATTATTATAATGTTTTTAAGTATTGTATATTTGTATCTACGCCTAATCATTATAAAAAGGGTAAAATTGAAACTCACAGTATATTTACTATTATAAAATAAAATTATAAATATACACTAGTTATTTCTATTTAAAACTACTGGTTTTGGAACGTATAAAATTAACATCATTTTTTGAAATGAACTGTTGTGTTTAATATTTTGTATAGGTAATAACAGGTATTATGTACCTATTTGTTGTAGTTTGTGTTACTTTATCATTTTCGTTGGAATAAGAAGTCAATATATTTCGATGTAATAAATATTACGAAAATATGATTACTATAATATTATATTTTATTATACTCAATTCAGAACAAGCGTTGGTTAATATGACCAGCTTTTAGTATTAACTAATGACTATCTAATGAAAATATAACTTTCAGAAGATAATTACACCAAAAATATTATTACACTGCAGGAGTAGTGACCCAGGCGAGTCTACTGCTGCGGCGAGATCGTCGCAGATCGCGTGTATACATATTTTCACGGCCGTTTTTATTATATTATTATTCGTTCGTCTGTTTGTTTATTTGTCTTCATCGGGCCCATTAACGAGTCAATAGGTTTCCGACAGCCGCGGTGCAGGAGTATAATATTATATTCCGGAAGCGGTTTCACGCTGCAGATACCGCCGCCGACCGTACGTATACATATTATATATATATATATATATATATATTGTACACACACACATAATATAATCTATTATAAGGTACACACATAATATACAAACAAGCCGTCAATTCGAGACACGGTGCGGTGTGTTTCGAAACGCACCCTAATCGCCGAGCACGATCTCGCGGCCGCGAGTTCTTCTTTTCACACGAGCGCGCGTGACGGCCCGACCGACGTGCGTACAAAATAATGTGAGTGTGTGTGCTGCAGTTACCCGCGTACATATTATATTGTAATATTATGTATAATAAGCGTATATATGTAGGTATATACGCACTATAATATAGCGGGAGGTGACGCGATAATCGCTGAGAGACCCGTTTGAGACGATTTTACCGACGTCGTCGGGCAGACGGATATAATATTATATATAGGAGCGTATATAGGTACTCTAATGGCCGACGTGAACACATAATATTAAAACACAATATTATTAAATATCTATATGTATACGGTCGAACATATATTTTATAGACACATTTTTATTCCTATACATACATATTCTCTGTATTTTACACATCTCACTGTCCACGATAGGTAATAATATGTAAACTGGCTAAATACCTATATCGCGTATTAAGTTTTCACGTTAAGGTACACATCATACGTATATAATATTATGTTATTTTACTGACGTCTATCCCTCCCGCGGTCGTGGGTGCTGCAGGTTCGCGAGTGCAGTATAAGGGCGAGCGCCTATAAGTGTGTATATACCTACAGGTGGTATATATAGCTGTCAAATTCTACGCCGGTGTTTGATTTTCTCACGGCGTTTAACGCGCCGAAATTTACCGAGCGACGGGCGTGGGCGCTTCTTACCCGGCACATTATATTATACAGAAACATTAAAAACCCGTAATTATTATTATGATGTGTACACACATAAATGTGGCATGTTTAATACGTGTTTGAAATTTCGATTTTTTAACGAGCGACGCGCTATATTCTAATTGAGCGATCGGTTCGTGACAAGGTTAATACGCGTACCTATATAGTTTTCTGCTGCACCCTCTGCAGCACGGGCCTGTGTTTTTGAAACAAGTCTTCGCGTATATATTATGTACCTATTTAACCGGTTGATTTTTTTAAAGTAACACGCTCATCACAATAACACTCGGTCAATTTTCGAGTAGGTATATCATACGAAAAATGATTTTACATAAATTGAAATTTTGAAGTACCTATACCTAGCTGGTAGGTTACCGCTGCTATATTACTGCCAATAAATTATATAATAAAAACGTTTTCAATTTTATAACCGGAAGCCGAATACTTTTCTTAATATTATGATGTGTAAATATTAAATACTGAATATTTAACAAACGTATGCATTGATTTATAGGTTATTAACACCCAATAATTTAAAATTTCAGGAACGAGCGGATTAAGACGCATGGATATCTGTAGACAGTAAGATGGCAAAAAGTATTTGGTGCGAGTCATGGCTTGTGACTACAACCTTTGAAACATTAATAAGGGTCGTATTCATAGTCGATGCTAAGAATAAGTATTGCTTAAGGTATGCTTATGACTTAAATGAGATTCATAAACGACACTTTGGCTTAAGAGAGTCCTTCTCAGTCCAATTAGTTCACAAAGCACCTGTATCGATATTTTCCCGTGAACTGAGACAGGCACAAAATAACCTATACATATATACTATACCCATACTATATTTTATATTTGTTCATTTTTTACAGGTGAAGTCGGGTTATACAGATAGTATTGATAGTTAAATATTATATATTGAATATCAAGTAGATGAACTCGACGCATTTCGTCAAAGAATCAATTTTTAGAGAAAAATCAAACAACAAAGTATGTCTATAACAATATTATTAACTAGGCGTTTACATACAAAAATATAAATCATAACGTATAAAAATGCCTATACAATAATAACACTTATCCCGTCTTGATAAAATGTCCCGCGAGAGCTGCTTTCGTCCATCATGTCCCAGCAGTCTGCATCGGTTATGACCTTTGAGGTGGTGGCGGCGTCGGCGTCGTCGTCCTGGAGCAAATAGTTGTACCGCTGTGACCCGATCGCGGAGACTTCGAAACCGTCGTTGCAGTACGTGACGCCGCTGCACGCCATTTTGGACGAGTGCAGAACGCGTCGCTGCACTTTTTCCAAAACGACAGTCACCTGTTGATGCCTCAAGATCATCGCTGATTTCATGCCCTTCGCAAGACAGTCACAAACATTAGGTATATGTACCTACATTGGCTATATTATATTATAGTATGTATTGTATCATGTGTGATATAGATTATAGATACGTCGTAGATACATATATAGGAGTGTAGCAATTATAATTATATAATATAGTGTTGGGTAGTTTAGTTTTATTTTTGAGTGTCTATAACGTATACTATAGTGTATATTATATAATAGGTAGGACATAGGTACATGCAGTGTATTTGGAGGATTTGACAATTTTACAATTAAATTATATTAAAATAGGTGTATCATAAATCATAATATTGTCTTCTATATTCTCCAGATACACTATACCTATACATACACAGTATAATAAATATAGGTTATATTATAGAAAGACGAATGTGCCAGGCTTAGTCCCCCCCCCTCCGAATGTGGACTTACTAGTGTTACGATAAAACTTAAACGTGCAATAAATCGTGATATCGTATGTTTCATCGAAAATGTATGAATGTATGATAGTTGGTTATATACCTACCTATGGTGAAATAGTTCACACGCGAGTTTGTTATAAATCAAGGGTACCTGTGGGTACCTATATACATTGAGGAGATTTCATATATAATTATGGGAAGGGAATGAGATATTTCCTGAAATCGATAACTATAGTCAAACATATTTACATTTTAAAAACTGCAATTGAATAAAATAGAGACTAGATTTTCTTGGTTTTTTCCTGTTTGTTAGGACCAATAATATGACGTATGATAAATATAAATAACACACATTATCACGTCATTAAACATAATAAAATATCTTATTATGTTCTTTATTTTACGTCATTGTCAATAATTGTACCTATTTGAAATACGCCTATCCACGACTCGTCGAAAACAACACAACTATATGTCATAACAAAAACGACATTCATCTATTTTCATCCATCTTCAGCTTAAGGTAATAACAATGATGAAAATAGTATAATATTATGTATAGGAAGAAATACGTACCTACTTATATATGACCATTTTTATCTTTAACATTCTCGACTAAGATAAAATGTTTTTTATAATTTATTGTCTTGTCTTTTATGAACAAAAAATATATTATAATTATACCTATTATTTCAATATTTATGTTAATTAATATTTATTTTATATATTTATTTTATAAATGCTACTAATATTTATATTTAATTATAATTACTATCCCTCCATCAATCTCGATAATTGTATAATTATGTGCAGGTTTAAAAAAAAACAATAATAACACCACGCGAGCACGTCCGTCCGTCCGTGTGGTTGAAATAATATTATGTCGGTGTATTTGGTTTGTCGATCACAATAAATTTGTCTACTTAGATAAAGTTCAATTTTCAAAATTAAAATATCTAAAGGATTATAATTTATAATACATATACCTATAAATAGCACTCGCATAAAATACCTAATAAACACGACTGCTTTCCGTAATAATTATAATATTATGTTTTGGTGTAAAATTATTTAACACAAACTTACGGTTAGCTCACTCAGAAACGATTCTAGTAATTGCTTGTCATTTGAAGTTTTTAATATGGACCACTTGCGAATCATGCGGTTTTTAATCGCCAATTCTAATTCATCACAGATTTTTTCTCCTGTTCGGTGTATAGAAACAATAAACACACAAACACAAATACAATTAAATTAAGATTCAATGTCAATAATATACGGGTGTCGACTATTACTATAGGGTGAGTATAATATACAATTTAATAATAATTGTAAGGGCAAAAGTAAGCCAAACTTTTTCATTTCTACTTATATCTAATCCTGCCTCACCCCTGGTGAGCTTTGCTAAAAAAACTGGATTCATGATATCTAGACACGCGGTAGCGTGTCAAGCCAAGTTCTAGCTAACAGAAATGGCGAGCAGCACCGTGTGTAATATTAAACCAACCATTTGGAGCCACTTTTGACCCACTCATAACTTAAAATATATTCCACATAAACATGTCAAATTTGGCTCATATATTCAGACTTACGAGATACATATATTCTCCAAATTTCATAAACACACCTTAAACCCTTATTTAGATATTAACGTCCCAAAATCGTCATTTTTATCACTGACTGACTGATATACCTATAGGCTATAGATCGAAATTCTAACCCAGTTCCAGATGACCTAGAAAGTTCAAATTTGGCACACAGATAGGTAGTTATGTTAGTACAAAGGAAAAAATCAGAAACTTGTAACTTTTTAATTTTTTAATCAATTGATTTTATTATAATTTTTCAATTATTTTATCTATTATATTTAATTTTTCAATTAATTAATTAAGTGTCTCTAATTTAATGTAATGTAATATAATGTTGACTTATATAGCTTAGCTAACTTTTCCGTATCGCCGCTCCAAAAATACGTCCAGCCGAATATGTGTCGATATTGGCGACCCGCGGGCAGCAACATACTTTTTTTTCCATGTATGTAATTAATATTAATTTAAAAAAAAATTACAATTAAAATTATTAAATACTTTACCTATCTTACGATTATGAATTACCCACCCACCAGTAAAAATTATAGTAAATAAATGTATGATAATTAAAAATATACTCAAAAAGAGATAAAATAATTTTATATTTTATACTCTGCATACAACATAAAATATTTTATAATAAATACTAAAAATGTTAGTAACTGAATTATAGTATATAGTAATAAACTTTATTTATAGAATACGTAATGGCTAGGTTAGGTTAGGTTATAATAATTTACATACAAAAAGTTATGATATCCCACCAAGAACATATATATATAATGAGACTATGAGAGCCAAGTTCAATACCTACTATAATATATATGCCTTGGTTGTTGACTTCAACGACAAAAGAAGTGAGATCTAAATGGGTATCAAGTTAGGATAATATATTGAAGCCTAAGGTCTGACTTGGTCACGAATTTTATTATAGCATTCGCCAGTTATAAAGCTTTTAGTTCTTATTTTATTCTTCGGAAAATCATCTTCACTCTTCCATTAATGTTTAAGTAGGTACTTAATAATAATTCGTAAATTAAAACTAGCCAAGTCAGACCTTAGGCTTCAATATTATTCTAACTTTGCACCCATTTAGATCTCACTTCTTTTGTCGTTGAAGTCAACAACCAGGCATATATTATAGTATTGAACTTGGCTCTCATTTTACATATATGTTTTTGGTGGGATTTAATATATCATAAAAATACTATGAAACGATTGAGCACATTTAAAATTGCACAGAGATATAACACTGTCGACACAATAAAAACTAATACGATTGAGCATAGTGCATACAATTAGGTAGGTACGTTTAACGTTGCCATATAATTTATTTAATAAGGAAACTGCTTTTTTAGCACAAACAGTCACAAGCCAGACATTATCAGTTCATGAAAAATATTTTTATCTATATTTTTTATTTACAATCAGTGATGAGGAACTGGGCAAGTTGTGAGTTACTTATATAGAATAGATTAGTTGTTAGTTGTAACTGTTTAAAAGTTGCTGCAGTTACTGTAGTTAGTACATTTAAAGTTCCAAGTTTCTTAACTATTTTAGTTTCATCATTGACATTACTCATTATCTGTTTGTATGTGGGGTTAATGACAATATGTAAGTTATAACTTATAACTAAAATTTTAAAATATTTAAAATTGAGATTTACTAAACAATGGATACTAAGAATATTATTAGAAAATATAAATACTAATTTGGACTTTTAAATTAAATAATTAAAACATTTACATTTTATAAACGCAGATTAAATTCCCGAAAAATTACTTTTTTCTTTTAGCTGTTTTGACGACTGGGAGATATCGATGGTCATTTCGGCGATCCGCGAGTTTCTGTCGTTAATGTATAACATGGTTCTTAGTTGGGAACTTAATAACTCAGAAGTCTCAAATAGTTCATTAACGACTATATTATAACGAACTTGCTGATCCCTGTAAAACAAAAATAATTATTGTATCTGAAAGCACGTAAAATATTTTTATCGCCCACCGGCCACCATAATGATAGTCTGCTATGGCTATTAGTTATTAGGTACTATATAATAATACCATACGAGTATATACTCCATAAACTGCTCAACGGGCAAAAAAATAATGTTAAAGCAAACAAAATATGTCGTCTAATGCGTGTATAACCACTATAAAAAGTGCCTGGGCGCGTGCCAACAACTATCGCATGGTAATAAATACAATTATCTAAATAAAATAAAGTTTGTATACCGTTAATGAAATCGTTCGAAAATTTAATTGCACTACACGCGTAAGAAAAAAAAAAGAAAATTTAAAACGAGATAAGTACCTTCATATTATAATATACAGATTTATAACAAATCGGATAATTTTCTTAATAATTTATTGAACAAGACGGCGAGGCGATCGTATTCGCGCGTGCCAATATAGGTTCGAACTTCGAGGATAAAATATGTACAGTAGTATTATAGTACTATAAAGTTACCTATTATAATATATTATTATATTAATTATATATCGTATTATATTCGTATGTATATTATATACTATATAATATTAGTATATATAGGTGTAAAATGAACGATTATATTATCAAGATAATACTTATTATTTATTATTAGGATTATAATACTTAAATAACTATGATACTTTCTTGGAAAAAACCCGATTAACGTATTCTCGTACGAGCACGTCTTGCTCAAAGTATTCCACGAGAGACTTCAATTTTTGGTCGAATAACTGATAGTCCAGAGAACTCCGGTCGTGCACAGATAACAACAGAATCGCGGTGAGGGTCGACTTGACGTCGTCGATACGACTGACAGTCTCATTTGGCACATGCCTAAAGATTTCCAAGTTTTTTATCAGAGAACGTTTGAGTTCGTCTCCAATGTTGACGGTTTTCTTTTTTCTGTTGATAAAGAATTTCTTGATCGTCGAAAAATTCATATTTTATTGAACAAATAGAGCAGGTAACAGGTCACTCAGGTCAACGTTACAATATATAATGCGAGAAGCTCAAAAGTGTCTAAAATATGTAGAGTTGATTATTAACACAGCACACAGAAATATAAGTGGTTCACTCAATAAATTCTTAGTAACTATGTAATAAATAATAATCCTAGCATAATATTTTGACTAACTGTTTAAAAATTTTAACTTTCTGAAAAATATTAATTTTGATAATTGTATGAGTTAGAATTTGCTTATCAACGTAAGTACTGTTTTTATTTCAACTTGAATAGTGTTAATGTGTTATTAGGAATAAAACTTTAATAATATGTAATATTTGATGTACCTATTATTTATTATACTTAGATCATTTTTACAAATTATTTATATTGATAAATCAATAGGTAGTAATTATTAACTTTTTTAAATCTTCATCTAATCCCTCATATCTACTTAACCCATTACCATAAATATAAATTACTGTCCTTAGAAGTTATTACACAAAATTATATAATTCAAAAATTACTCGCTTAAATTTCGATTACATACATCAAAATTCTCAAAAAAATGTATGCATAATTTAAGCATAAAAATAGGGCGATTAAGCTTAAAAATCACACTGCATTGGGGCAGCCACACAGGGATGTATCTTTTTAAATGTTTTTTTTTTAAATTTTATGTTGAAATGAAATTTCTGTTGGTATACTGTATACAGTATGTTTACAGAGAAAAGTAATCTGTGCATTATACATTCCATAAAAAAAATGCAGTCTTTATCTACAATATATTTTCTATCTGAATAGGTGTGGTGGATGTGAATGTGATTAGGATGTTAGGTAGGCACTAAGAACAAATAGTAGTTGGCAAGAACGACTGCAAAACACATTGCTAGACAAGATTCTCTTTTTTAAAATTATTTTTACAATACTTATAAAGGAAATTATTTCAACACCAACGAGTAACGACAGCCGACAATCCATAATGCAAACGCCAAACAATGATGACGTAAACACATCACTGTATGGGTTTTAAAAATAATATTGTTAAAGGTTATTTTAACAAAAATGGAATTTAAAAAATACTTTATACAATATTTTTTAACTACCTAAATACTTGTCAATAAAACAATATAACTATGTATTCTTAAATATACATCACTGATTGTAGACTGAATCTGAAATAGTTAAAATATTATATTATACTAAATAGTATAATATAATAAATTTTATAAATTATAATCAAAAACAGCATTTGACGGACATAACGTGTTTGAAAGTTCATGTATACGAAATACTATCAACTTCTCATATGTTCGAAAGTTTATGTGTAAAAACAAAAGTAGTGATCTAATTGTATGTAAATTGTCCGGTATTCACACAGAAAACTGGTTTTCATGTATTGGTACCTTCCTATACCTACCTATGTAAATTGAACAATTGAAGGTACCATAATGCGGACATTTTGTGCAGAAAATCTACATATGATGTCGTCAAAAACTGTATTTTTTTTTTTTGAAAATCGACATCTTTACAGAGCTGATCCATTAAAATCACTGTCAAAAAGAACATGGACGCATAATATTATTATGTACGTTATTCCCTCAAATGTATTTTTGTTTCTTTGTGTTTCGCATAATTTAAGTGACATTGAAATATCTTTTATAAAATATGTGCTGCTATCTGTGAAGTTTAATTGTAACCAATCGATTTATTTTCAATTACGGGGATATACGTCATGATGTATTGGTGTAACAGAAATACCTGACAAATAAAAAAAATTTGATACTATTATAGTTAAACTATGACAACAATAAATTGTGAAAATTATATTAATAAAAAATAATTTAAGAAATATACTTATGCCAAGAAATTCCCAAAAAAATTATTTTCAAAAACTTATTACATTTCAAATAAATTAATTCCAAAAAAATCTGATATTTAAAAAAATAAACCGATTGACTTAAAATAACGTTTTTACCATCAATATATTTTATCTAAAAATTAGATTCAAAAATTAATTATTTTGAATTTTTTCAAAAAAAATTTAATGACATTTCAATATTTTATTTTCAGTATTAGAAATAAAAATAAAAAAGCGGGTAAGTGGATGTCGTTCTGCTGTATAGTAGGTTACAAGTGGGTCATTGTATAATGGATTGTATTAAACTTGAATTCAATGATATAATATCATTGTATAAGAAAAACGATTCTGAGCTGAGACGGTTTGTCAGTCTGGATATTTTATATAGTTATTATTTATTATATCATGTAAGTTGAATTAATATTATAATTTTTTATTCGTTTCTATGGTGATAAACAAAGCGTTAGAAATTTTTTTATTTTTTTTATTTTTCGTATACTTTTATACTTTTTTTATTGAACAAAAAAAAAATGTTATTTACAATCTATAATTACATGTATTACAATAAGTAAATGGGATGGGGATGATTAGCGGGAGGGGGAAGTCACCCAGTGGCGGCACCCCGTGAACGTTAGAAATTAAAATCCGATTTTAAATGGTTTTTCGTAATTTTTCGGTGGTTTTTCCCGTGGCATTATATAACTATTGAGAAAATCGAAAAATGACCTCTCTAAAGTACCATCTTGGTCCAATTTGCTAAAAGATAAGGCACTATATGTTGAAATCAAAGCACTCCTTCTGGTAGAAATTTTGTACACAGGATATAAAAAAAAAAGAAAAAAAAATAATAAACACCATTGTAAAACCACTAGCTTCCTCGCTCCGCTCAGAAACTAAAATAGTATTGTACTTGTATCGCAATTGTCTATACAATATATTATTATAATAAAACGTTTAACTAGGGGGATTCGAGACAGTAATTTTCTGTTTTTGTCTAATACACACGCGACGTAGGATTATAGACTGGTTCTTTTGTCAAATGTACCGATTGTTCGAATGATGCGATAAGAATTCTAAAAGCATATTTGAATTTGTCGTCAAGTTTACTTGAAATCGACCTTCCCGCATTTTTGATATTATCCCCAAAATTCCTAAAAGTATCATATTAAGTAAATTTAGTAAAGTATTTAAAAATTGCCGTATTTTAATTTTTGGAGAAGTGAAAATCAAAAAATCAAAAATGTGGGAAAATTATTTCCTAACTGTAACACTTTCTAGAAATAAAGTCATAAAATAATATCTAAATATCTAATATAGGCATCTGTAGCCTTTTGGTCTTGAGTTTTTCATTTGGAACCATAATATTATGATATAATTATAGGTACCTCCCTAGTTAATACCTACTCATTTGGCCATTGATTAAATATATATTATATATAATATATATTTAATCAGTGATTTGGCATTTATAGTATATTTACCGTATAGATAATATGCAGTCACGCGGTCTTGTGCAGACGTGCAGTTAATTCCTTTTTAATAATAATATTGATAGGTAGTACCTTTTATACCCAAATTAAAACGTATTGTTCAAAATCATTTCATAGTTTGCTTACCGAAGTATATGTTATAGCAGAAAGATCCACCTGCGGGCGGAGCGGCGGCGTACACTGACGAAAACCTCTATATATAGATACCTAACGGGAGGGTAAACGCATAAATTTATATAATAAAATAATTATAACAACGAGCAAATATAGAGTGGTCTGCCGAAAAAATATAATTTACCGTTCACGTCAGAAAAAGACACCAAAGAGTGATAACGAAATATTTCGTTTCCATAGAGAACGGCAGAGCCGGTGTTGTCACGATGGCGGTCGTATTTTAATAATAACAGTGAGTCCGTGGGACGTTTGTTGTGACTTGCGTAGGAAAAATCGCATAAATAAATTTACAAATGATCTCGTATAATATAATATATACGTCCTACACTCCTACCCCCCTCGTCGTTTGTCGTTCCTATACTAACTATATAAGTAAGAAGCAACCATACGCAATAACCTGGACGATGTTGCAAAAAGAAAAATAATTCTGGTAGTATCGCTGGCAATGTTAATGTAGCTTCTTGAACGCTCGATATTGAAACGATACGTACGTATCATCGACCATCAAATCGATTGTGTTGAATTCAATATTTCAATCCCTTCGACAAATACAAACTGTCAACAAAATGCATTTATTAAAATATATTGTATAATACCTACTCGTTACGATTTTATTATCTTTTGACTTTTATTGTTATTAACAATGAACCAAGGTGTTGAACTGAATGATGCAGTGAACATGCATACAGTTCGCCTTCACGCATTTTACATCGAAACAAATATAACTTACCTAATCGTGTTCAACAAAATTTGAATCATTTAACATTTTTATGTTTATCATTAACGTACATCTACAATTTCCCAAATTTGGGACAAGCCACAATGGGATATCGTATAAAAATATTATAAGTATTGAAGGTGAACACTGAAGACTTCAACTGTTATGAAAAAGCTAAGGAAGAATATATGTTTTAATAATAATAATTTGTCTTTGAGAATTAGGCATATCTTTAAGCAAACACGTTGTTGACCATCATTGTATCATTTTCATTTGTATCAACTGTTATTTGTTTATGAATTGTTTTCAACAAATTTTTAACATTACATTAAAAACTTAAAAGGTCTATTTCTATTCTCTAAAATTATGATAATATATAGCCCGATATAGGCTATTATAATCATGGATAATATACAACAATATATTATCTACGATTATAATACACAATATACTAACATGACACATTGGGTATTTTTATAAAAACGACCAATGTACATATTAACAACTCTTCAAGAAGAAGCAAAAACACAGTTTTGCACTCAAATAAATGTTATTATATTTATTATTTATTTGATTGGATATAATAAATAAAATATATTAGTTAAAAAAGTTTTTAAATTAAAATAAATATCTGCTATTTAATTCATATTTCAGTAGATACCTATGTTATTTTATTGAAACACGAGTTATAAATGTGCCAACTAGTTTTTTGTTTATCTTGATTCTTGAAAAGTTGTTAGAAATATACAATGCCATATTAAGTCTATTTAATGTACTCATTAATATATATTATTATACACAGGATAATTATTTAGCAGAGTGAATAGTAACTATTTCCAAAAGAATTACATTTTTTTCAAATGTAAGTTACATACATGTAATTTTCATGATTCATAATAATATAACCTTTATTCAATGTAATAATAAATAATAATTAGGTACTGTCATACGTTTTGAATGTCGAGATGTATTTAGAGTTGTATTAATATTATAATTTTAAAGATGGGTATAGAATATACGGACAATCAGTTTAGTATTAAGTTTATGAAATTATTTTATTATTTGTAAAAGAATAAACAAATTAATTTTTAAATTTTGGCTTTTTTAGGTTGTGGTTCACATGGAGAATCACATGGTTCAAGAGGGTTCTTCTGTGGTTGTTGTACAGCAACTGTACTTGCAGTTATTGATGGTACACTGAAATTTAGTATTTCCGGTTTGACCAGCTTCAAAACAATTCTTTCATGTTGAACATTGCTGCTGTCAAGACTTAACTGAATGCTTACTGGATCAAAAGTTCGAAAAACTATTTCCCCACACCTCTGGGTTTGCTCCTAATTATAAATAAGAAATATGTATGAATAAAATAAAATAAATGTAAATTGTTTTATTATTTTGCATTTGATTTTTAAATAAAGGTTAAAATGTTTAACTCACCTCTTCATTATAGATGAATGTAGCAGCTTGTAATTGCCCTTTACGGGGTGACAAGAAAAGAGTTCCCTCCAAACCATATTTTGGTATGAGTATTTGTAAAGCATTTTTTCTAACATATAATATGTAACCTTCTTCATCTCTGATTTTTCCACGGAAAAATATCTAATGAAAAATTGTTTCAATTATGTATTATTCAGTTTATTAAATTTTTAATAAAATAATTGATTTACATGAGTATTTAAAGCAACTGATGCTCGCTCAGCATAAGCTGACATACGGGTTCTGGTATTTAAAGTTTGGCAAAGTGCTTCAATTTTGCGTTTGTCAAGCATTTCAGGTGTAGTATTATCTACTGCAACGGATACAGCCAAAAGTCTATGAACCATCACATCGGCATACCTGAAAATAAAAACAATTAGTGGTTGTGTTCCATAATATATTCTTTGTAAATAGTTTGTTATATAGTAGGTATATAATATTAGCATTAAGAGGATGTCGCACCCGCATGTGTTGTATCCGTCTTACAAATGTACAACATAGCAAAAACTGTTTTTGAGCGGAACAACTTTTCTTGCACCATATTTGTTGTAAAACTACCAAATTTTCACAACACGTAAAGAAGAACTTTATCTGTGCAACAGAGTGCTTTTTTTTTAATAGCACTATCCAATCATTTTTTATAAGAAAATGAAAAAAACAAAAAAAAAACAAATATTTAGAAGCAAAAAATTTTTATTGTATTTTTGTTATCTAAAATATGGGCACGCTGTTGCATAATTTTCCACCACATAATATGTTCAGACATTTTGAAGCCACTACTACAAACATAGAAAGATAAATTTCGTCCCGGGCAAAACAGTTTTTGCTGTTGTACATTTCTAAGATGGAGACAACACGTGTGGGTGTGACGTCCTCTTAATTATCAAATATGATTATGCACTTGAGTTAAGCCGTATTCCCAATACTAATGTACTTGGACAATATTTAGTACTATTGGTTACTTGCTATGCCATTGGAACCATAACTTGTATACATAAGCATCACTAAAGGGTATTGTGGGGTACTTTTGCTACCCCATACATTTTTTTTGTGATAGCGAGTTTCTACCACAAAAAAAAACACTTGAATTTTGAAAATGTATTTATTATATTCAATATTTATTAGTTTATAACTCAAGTCTTAATGAAAATGGTTCATTTTTTTCAGCTATAAGTTGTGACTAGTAGTATTTAATAAAAATATCATGATCAAACCCATTTTTGATTGTTGATGTAGGTGAAAATTGTGAATTTCTTATTTACTAATGAAATTAACGTAATAAGTAGTCGCTGAGAATATTATTTAATTATTTTGTGTCAAAGATCATGGGCCTATTATAATACTGTGAATTGTGCATAGCAGTTTGTGACGTTACCAAAAAACTAATATAATCTAACTTGTGAAGGGTTTCCATTTTTGTTTATAATTATTAGAAAATAAATAGGTATTTACTTAGTTTTCATAATAACATTTTCAAGAATATAGCTAGGTATTATAATAGCTGTATACTTGAAGATTGTGCCATATAATAAGGTAAGATGACAATAATAAAAATAAAATTTAATACATATTTAATGGTTTTTACATTCAAGTAAAGCATATATAATACATATAGTTACTATAACCAATGTATTCTAGTAAAAATAAATGATTTTATGTATCTAGTATCATCCACACACAATTAATATAGGCCCTGTGACTACTAGTGCTTTCATTTCACCATGACCGCATAGACCAGCAATTACGTTGCAACCGCCAACCTAAGTAGATAACTGTGACCAATACTTATGAATATATGAATATACTTGACTAATATATCAGACATCAGAACATTTAATACACAAATTACTTGCGCATTTGGTAATAGAAGTACTTGTCAAGTAAACCAGGAATAACAAAATGGTTTTACTTGTTAAAAAAATGTAGTCAAAAATATGCATAATTAATTTAATATTTGGATGACACCAAGTTTGATTATAATTTATTATGTTTTTTGTTGAGTGCTCACCTTCTAATTGGAGATGTAAAATGAGTATAAATTGGAGCAGCCAATCCATAATGCAAAAATTCATCATAGGTTTTTGTACCACTAGCAAAATAAACGGCTTGTAACATACACCGAGTGGCCAAAATACGGAGCATTGTATTGAAAAATGGATTATCTAGTTTAACAGCTTTATCTAAAGAATTTGCCAAGTCTCTGCTAGTGTCCACATTTAATTCCACTCCCTACAGCAAATAAAAACAAACATGCAAAATGAAAAATATTTAAGACAGTCAAAAAATATTTATACCAGATGTGCTGCGGCTTTAATAAGAGACTCGAAGTTTGAAGGTGGTGGCTTAGGATGACGTCTTAAAACTGCAAATTCTGGAAAATCTGAGTGTATCTTTTTTGCAACTTCTACGTTAGCTAACAACATAAATTCTTCTACCATTGAATTGGTTTCTTTTAACTGTTTTACTTCTACGTCCAATGGATCTCTTGTTTCACTGTCTACGAGGAAACGAATTTCAGGTGAGGCCAAGACCAATGCTCTATAAATGTATTACACTTTAGGTAAATATAATAATATAATAATAACCATGTAAAACATAAAATAAATGTCAAACCCAGCTTCAATACGACGTTTTTTAAGAATCTTTGCAAATTTATTAAGCTGTCTCAATCCCAGAGCAATAGAATTATCTTGGTTCTGATCGTCAATTATTAACTGTGCTTGATCGTAAGTCATAGCTGCTTTTGACTTAATAACACTTTTTGTATAAGTACTATTAACAATGTCTGCATTTGGAGTCATCTCCCAGACACAAGAAAATGCCAAACGTTCTTCTCCTCCTCTTAAAGAACATAAGTTTGAACTCAATAAGCCTAAAAACATTAGTTAGAATTATTAATTACTATACAATAATAATAATAAAAATATATTGAGTATGTAAATTTAATCCAAATATAATATAAGATAAATATAATCTAAAGATATAAAAATGAATGTTTCTTTGTCTTTTTTCCACCCAGAAACAAATGGACCGTTTTCAATAAAAGTTATATGAATAAATACCTTGACACTCGGAAGATAATGATAGCTTATGTTTTCAATCTCTATACACATGAATTGAATTTAGTTTTGACTTTTTTTTGTTTATTTAAATTGCAATTGGTTAGAAATCATATTATTATTATAATCACAGACGTATGGTGATAAACAAAGTGTTAGAAATTAAAATCCTATTTTTAGTGGTTTTTCATAATTTTTCTGTAGTTTTTCTCGTGGCATTAAATAACTATTGAGAAAATCAAAAAATGACCTCCCTAAAGTACCATCTTGCTCCAGTTTGCTAAAATATAAGGTACTATCAGTTGAAATCTAAGCACTCCTTCTGGTAAAAATGTTGTATAAAGGATAAAAAAAATTAAAAATGAACACCATTGTAAAACTACTAGCTTCCTCGCTCTGCTCAGAAACTAATATCTTGAGGCTTTGCCTGTTTTTTTAATATTATTTTGTCTTAATAAAAATATTACCTGGAACCATATCAATACGTCTTCCAGTTAGATACACAGTAGTGGCACGTTGGCTGGCTTCTAGATCTATGGCTGTACCAGGTTTAACAAAATGAGTAACATCTGCAATGTGCACACCAACCTGGAAATTGCCATTGTCCAAAGGCATACAATGTAATGCATCATCTATATCTGTACAACCTGGAGGGTCAACCGAACAAATATCCAGTTCACGAAAATCTTTTCTGCCCACTAAGTCCTGTAAAAATTATAAGATCATAAAAAAAATGATAAAGTATACTTATAGGCACATTAATATCATAATAGTTTAAAAAATTGAACACTAGAATGGAATGAGGTACTGAGTTAGAAAATCCTTGAATTTGAGAAAAATTAAAAATCATTTCATTTAAAAATACTTTCAAACAAAGCTTGAAAATTAAGATTTATTCACGTGTTTACAGTGGCGCCGAACCTTTTTTAAACCACTGGAGTAAACCTTGTTTAAGGGCACCCACCTACCTACCTTTTATACATAAAAGTAGTCACTCATGACCCCCCCCCCCCCATCAACTAAAAATGTTCTGGGGTATTTGCCCCACTTGCCATATGTGTAACACTGCGTGTTTATATATCATTATATTCACTAATGCAGCGATTCCTACTTCCTAACTCATCGGCCGGGTCCCACTTGTATTTCGCCGGGGCCAATGTGGTATTGGGTTACAGAATCTGTTCGAGTCTAAGCCAAGGATCAGCAAATTTTAATTGACATCGAGATTTTTATATGATATTTTACACGTCTATATATTTTCCTTCTATTGTTTAATTTGTGTGTTTTTATATTTCATATCTGTAAATTAAGTAAGTGAGCCTCAAACTTTTTTTTTCATAATTTATGGTCCGCACAATTAAGAAGGTTGGGAATCACTGCACTAGTGTATAGAATTGTCTGCATAATAGACATTATAAAATGTAATTCTACTCTTGGTATTATTAATAATTAACCTAATAACAAAAAAAATAGGTTTCTTTTTAATTGTGAATTGTATGGTTTTGACATAAATATATTATGTCAAATTTTGGAGGATGTGACACAATTTGAAGTCATTAAGTCTGTGTGATTATAACACAGTATAAAGATTAATTAATTTTTTATTTTATGTATTATTCTTTATACTGTGGTTATGAACTAAAATATAAATAGGTACCATAGATATATTTCACAAAAGAAATAGTATCTATGGTAATAAAAACATTTTTTTTTTTTTTTCATTTACCCAAGTTAACTATCAAAAATAAATTAATAAATTACTCTTATTGGAAGTTATGGCTGAAGATAAACCTTATAAATTTGAAGCTAAAAACAAAAAGAATGATGATTCAATAGATATTATTGATAAATTAACTGTATTTGTTAATTATCTAAACATTGATGGTCAAATGTTGTTGAAACCATCAAAAATAGAGTAACTTAGACAAGTATTATAATTAATAAGTACTTTTCTTAATCAAAATGTAATACTAATTTTAGTTTACAAAATGAAATGAAATTTGAACAGAGGGCAGAGCAAATAATTAAACGTCATCGTCGTCACGACCAATTTATAGTTGAAGAAAATACGGTAAATGAATTACAAAAATATATTAATGTCATAAATAATGATTTGGACAACAAATTGAACAAAAAAGGTAAGTCACTGAAAAAATAAATTATAACTATGCATTTTACTCAATTTAAATTATAGGTACTTCAGAGTTAGAATCAAAGGATATTACTGAGATGTATGATTGTCTAATGAATGTTAAAATGTTGATCTTAAAAAGTTCAAAAAATGCCAAGTCCCTAAAAGACTTTATAAAGTTAAATAAGGTAAAGATATAGGAACAAGACTTCTTTCCGGGGCAACCTTTATTTTTTTCTTTTTTTTTTTTGAAAGCATTGTTTTCACACGCTTATTTCAATAATTTTTGGAAATTTATGGTTAAAAAATCACAGTTAAATAACTTTTTTTGCTCCGGCCACACACACGCATGTGACTGTGGAACACTGGTAAAAGCGTCATGCAAAGAAACTACGATTAGGGATTCAACACATACAAATGCGAACAGCATTTTTGTTATTAGTCAATTTAAAACAAAAAATCCCTTGACTTGCTATGCAACACCACCTAAAGTAGATCACAGAGTAAAAATTGAATTTTACAATTTGAACACAGCTATTCCTGCGCTGCGCTCGGACAAAAAAATAGAATAAAATATCTTTCAACTTGTTGAGTAAAACCACCTTGAATAACCTCTGAATTAAACAATGTTGTTAAAAAGCAAATAATCTGCCAGCATGGCCACTCGCTGCGCTCGGGCAATAAAATCAAGGGCAGACGAATAACCCCTAACAGGTGAGCTTAACATTGTTAGTTACAGTAACACAAGTATTATAGTGGGTCACTTTGTCTGCCGGCTCCGGTTGCCAAAGTAGCCAAACTGAAGGTCATCCACCCGGCATTATAGTAATGTTACGCGCATGAGTATAAACATAAAATCACAAATTTTGGAAGGCTATAACTTCCATAATAATGTCTTGTGCAAATTTTTTTTTGGCACCATTATTTTTAACTCGTCAATACATCCCTTTTTAAAAAAAAAAATTTGAAAAAAATGTTGCCTGGTAAAGTATACATATACCAAGATTTATAATTATACAGAATAAAAATATCATTTGCTGTACATTTTATTTTTCAGATTAGTTTAGATAATGTTACTAAAATAGAAAATGAATTAAGAGCTGTGTTAGATAAAATACCCAAGGAAAAATTACCAAAAAAATCAGAAATTAAAGTAGCACAGAAAGTAAAACGTAGACCATCAATATTATGTATTTCAAATGGAACTCGAAGAAACAATCATGACGCTAACATTCGGGTACATCCTAGAACACAAGTTGAACATATAAGACAGTTGGGAAATTTAACTAACGACAGTGTAATTTTCAACTCGCAAACCAATGAGGCATTAAGGATGAGATTTGAAAATGATCATACCAATATGGTGGAAAGTTTCAGTAATAAACCAAATATTGACCAAAACACAAGGTATGAGCTATGAATAATTTAATAAATTATAATATGGTGTCTGCACTGCTGGCCTGGAAATCTAAAGGCCATTGATCAGTTGTTTTAAGGGGCGCCATAATGAACGGCCTTGGGCCCTGTAAAGAGAAATTGAGCCAAAAAAATACGTACGGTTTAATATTTTGATAAATATTTTGCGGAGTCCCTACTCCCTATATAATTCAGAAACAGGCCAAGCAAATAAAAAATGTACGAGACCCTAAAAAAAAACTGAGGGGCCCGGGGTCTTGTTTGTGGCCCAGCAGCCATGGCCAGGCCAACACTGAGTGTCCGAAACAATTATATGTGAATTTTACTACATTGTTAGATGATTAATGTTTATAGATATAGACGTAATGAAGAATCAATGAGCAATGATTTAATGAGTGTGGAAGATGACTTACAGCTTGTAGAATCTCTTAACTTTGACAGCTCAGTGAATCTATGTAAGGATAACGAAGATAATAATAGTGGAGATGTATATTTACTCCTCCAACCACATAATAATTGGATGGATTCTTAATAATTTCAATATTATTATATTAATGATTAAAAAGTAATCTTTTCAAACCAAGAATAAAATATGAAATTGTCTATTGTATTATAAATCAATAATTTGTAATGACTGTTAATTTTCAATAAAATAAATCTAGTTTTTTATAGTTCAAATTTTGTGTGGTACCTACATTTTTTATTAAAAGGTTTATTAGATCAAAATAGCCATAAATACTTACTGTGGCACTAATAGTCCATGTTTCTTTTGGTAAACACCCTAAGACTTCATCTGAAAATTTACTGTGCGGGACATCATGTTCTAATAATATAACTTCGTTTTCAGCTTCTCTTTCACCAATTTTTCCAAGCGACCTCACAAAATGGCCCTTTAAATATAATTTGTATATTCACACAAAGTAAAGGTAAACAATAAACATGGACATTAAAAACAAACCAATGGATATCTTGAATTTCTTGGCCATGTATCAATGGAAACAATAACACGTTGATCTTTTAATTTGTCATACTGTCTAGTTTCTATTCTTATTTTTGGAATCTTCTTTTCTGCTGGTACGAATAAATGCCGAGTTGCCTGAAAAAAGTAACCAAACATTTAATTTTTAAACAATTACTGATGGTTATTTGTATTATTGTTTACCTTCATAAACCCAAAATTGTATATCTACTTACATTTTCAACAAGACTATGTTGGATGATCCCACAATACTGTCTCCATTTTTTTCGTATTATTCCAACCACTTGACCTGTTGGATACTTTTCTTTCGGCTTTTCAACAGTATTTAAATTATTTTCCAAGTCCAAATCATCTGTTAAGTTTGCAAAGTATTCAATATTATGATGTCTATAGAATAACTAAATTAATATTTTACCATAATCTGCTAGAACTAAATTAGCAGGTGCACTCCATTGACTTTCTGGAAGCATTTGAATGGCAACAATATCACCATTAATGGCCCGATTTAAATTTTCTCTGCCTTGCAACAATATCTAAAATATAATATTAAATCAATTAATGAAAATTATTGTTTTCACGCAACACAAACTTACATTCTTTTCTTGTCCTTCCACAAAAACATTTCCTTCAAGAAAATTATCAACAGACGCAAAAAATGTGCCCTGCATTAGTTTTCCAGCCTTTATGCCCTGATGTATTTTTGCTGGGGTCAAATGAGGAGGGAAAATTGGTTCTTTACTTGTTTCTTCTACCATACAAGAGTGATTGGACAGTTTATCGGTTAATGTAACATTGTTTAACCCACTAACATATTGTGCGACTGAAAATCAATATTATAAATTTACTCAAAAATATTTAAATTTTTTATTTCAACTAACTCACGCGACATTGTAGGTATTCCTTCATTAATTGCTTTAGCCTTACTAGCTTCATCACTGGATAATAATAATACTTTTATCTTATCGTCCAAATGTTTATTATACCAAAGAGCTGCTACCCTAATCATACGGTCATTGTAATCATTTGGACTTTCTCCTCGAACACGTTCAACATATGTATCCCTTAAAATAATAAATTTTTATTTTCAATTAGGCAATACATAAAATAACTAGCTATCAAAATTCATTACAAATCATTTAAGATATCAAAAATTATAAACAGCAAATTGGGGGACGGAGTGGTCGAGCGGACTAAGGTGTCGGTTGCAACGCAGCCGAAGCTGGTTTGATACCTCGGCCATGGTCGGAATTTTTCATCGAGAAAGCCACGGTGTCCGGAGAACAAGTACCGCCATCCCCCACCCGGGCATGGCAGATACCTACGGGTGCCCAAATCAAAAATTCTGCCATACAAACACACAAGTGTTCTTCCCCTACCAATAAAAACCTACAAACAAAACTAAAAATAGCTAATGGCCTTAGTTTCAGGGCTCAAGTTCAATAAAAAAAAAAAAAACAGCAAATTGTGCAATCTGTAAATAAAACAATATAAAATTGACTATCAGTTTGTTCCTAATCAATTGGTTTATTGGATTTTTGATTAATTAAGTATTCATTTCTTGGTAATCAGTTAATCTAATAATTTTACCAATAAGACAATGACAATCATAAACAAAGTTAAAATCTAAGTATCAAATATAAATACTCTAAAAATAATATAAGAAACAGTTCTTACTTATGATAAACATTAACAAACACATAAAAACTTCTAGAATAATTTCCTATAATATCCATTAAACGTTTATAAACACTATGACTGAGATGTTTGACTTCTTCAAGTACAGTTTGTAAAATAATGACATTCTTCAAAGTTTCATCTTCCAGAGCATCAATCTATAATCAATAAACATTATTTAAATATTAAAGGATTTTGTTAAACTGTAAAAAGATAATGTTACAAACAGGGCCGAATTTAGCACAAGTGCCACCCTAGCCCTGCACTAATAAGCTGCAAAGCTTCAAGGAACCAAACAAATTTTTTTCAGTTTGGTAAAATTAGCCACCCGGTTGGGCCTCACAGACCTAGGCCAAAATTTGGCACTGGTTACAAACATAACTTAAATCTAATTATTTAAATATTAAGTGCAAAAATTGAAAACATTAATTTACACTATAATATTATTATCAAAAATCAAAATGACTCAATCAAAAAAAACAGAAGCCTTTAACTTAAATAATACCTGATGCAAAACTACATTTGTATCTACTAATAAATAATGTTTGTCTTGGAAATCGGTGTTAATAGATTGGTGTTTGACGAGTGGTCGTTCGCTGTTGTGCTTGCACTTCTTGCATATTTTTGAGCCACAACCTATGTCATCTCTTAAGTAGTGTTCGCGTACAATCTAAATGGATTATTTACAAAAATAAATACATTATATTGAACTATAACAGTAGCGAAGACACTCACCTTTAAAATATTACCACGCTTGGTTTTGCGTATAAAGGTTTTTGATGTCACTTTCATAGTCATGATGCTGCTGTGTTGTGTCAGAACACAGCAATGTCAAGAGAATTATTTTATTTTGTTGTCTTTTTGGTTGTATTAAAATGTATTAGTCAATTATATAGTCTAAGGACTGAGACCTTAAACGTCAATGTAATAATAATTAATATTGTACTGTTCAAATTCAAAACATTGTAGAATTAAAACAAAAAATAACGCACAACACACGTGAAAGATAATACATACGGCTGATAGCGAGATATCAATCTGTCCATGGGAGAAAAACTTGTTTGTTATTGTTCTTCGGTGCTATCACTACACGTGTTGATAAAATGATAACATTGAATAAAACACCTTGAAACTAGTTTCGATTCTTACGTCAAATGATGAAAAATATTTCATATTTCATAAAAATTAATAATTAATAATATTATTGTTTTAAAAACTATAAAAAAATACACTAAGATTATTTTATATTAATTAATTAATTAATATTACAATAAAAATAAATTTTAATATTATATTATTTCAAATTCTTAAATTATTGATCTATGTTAACTTATGACTTAAATATTTTTACGTAATTGAAATTAAAAATTATAATAATTACAATCGATACCGATTAGATCTGTTTTCCAACGGTAATATAAATTGATTTTAATTTTAAATATTCTGTAACGCATTCTTAACTTGTGTGAATTTACTTCTTAGTACTTAATTTTATGCAATGTTATTTCTGTTAAGAATAACCATTGCTCATTAGTTATTACATAGTTTATTCAGTACTATATTTGACAACTACCTATCTAAATGTATATTAGTCTATATAATATATACCTAATATATTATCTAAATTACCAGATCCAGATGTATTAAATTAATCTGCATAATAATAATTGTATGTATAATAATATCTAATATCTATCGAACAAATCAAACTTATTTTTTAAGTAGATTTTTTGATAAGTTTTGCATGTTCAGGTTGGTTATTAATTGTTTAAATAACAATATTTATTGAAGAATATAATATTAGGACATAGGTAACAGCTATGAATTGAATAAAAAAATGCATGAAGTTAAAATAAAAATACACTGTTATAAACTTATAATCACAACAATTTATTAAATTATACCGATAAATTGTATTAGGATAATAGTATTCAAAGCTGATTATACTTTTGGATTTATTGATATAGTAATATTTATATGAAATATCTCGTCATTTAGAATTGATGTTATGAAGTTTATTAAAGACTAATTAAGTTATATTTTTCCAAAGTCAATATTTACTTTTAGAAGTTATTTAGATGTGTTGTTAAAACGCTCCAATATTGAGTTCCAAAATATGCTCAAAAAACGGTTTCAAACCGATCAAGTTGGTTATTTTTTTTATATATGAACCATCTTATTTCTTATTTTTCTTTTAGTAGGTAAATAAAATAAAACTCTGATAAAATATTATAATTTGTTCACGAGATAAATACTTAAATGGATATATATATATTATACTATAATTTCTAATAATTATATTAGAAATTGATGCTATAGGCACATGCTTATAGTGTTTACATCGAAATATGGCAATGCCTACATTATAATATATTAGTATGATAGGTACCTAGTCAGCTATAAGTAATACCTAATTTGCTTTTTGGATTTTTTCAGGCCACTTAATAAACTATTAACTAAGAAATAAGAATACAAAATATACATTGCTTAAAAAAAATATTACCTATAAAGTCAAAGCATAAATTAAAATTGAAAAATATAATTAAATTATGGTTATAGGAGATTATGTCAGTATTGTAGGTGTAATTTATTGGTTAATATTACATAGGTATATATATCATATATAAATATATTATATATATATATATATATATATGTATAGCAAGTAGCAACAGGTTTATGATAAAATATGCAAAGGTTAATTGACCTACACATTATTAATAGGTAGTTTAATAAAGCGTACATAAATTATCTTTTATCATCTTTTTTTAAATAATTTGATTTTAGTCTCGATTTTAGTCGATTCTTGTGTTAGTGTATATTTTTAATTTTAGGTATTAAATGTCTATGATATTGGCAAATGTATGGAAATATAGAGTGGGTTATAGACAATTTTTCATTCATAATAAACAAACACAAATTCAAGCTATGTCTTCTGACCGAAAGAGGACTGGAGAAGGAACTAATTTAAATGATGATGAAGGTAACTATTTAAATTTATTACGAATGAATAATAAATCAGTATTTTTTTCCAAGTTTGATTCCTATAAGTCTTTTTTATGTAAAATATTAAAAACAAAATACTATAACATTTAGTAAACTTTAAAATATTTATCTAAGATTTTTGAAACTACTGTTTTGTTTTTAAATAGTTAATTAAGTAATATAAATGTAATTCTAGGTATTTTGAAAATTACCATTGGTGATGTAAAAAAACTTACCAAAGCATCAAAAACTCCTGAACTGGTTCCTATTGAATATTGTAAGTACCTAATTAAAAAGTTATAAATTTATTTGTAGTTTATTATTTATTTTTAATATATTATTATATTGTGTGGTTTGTATACATGTTCTGTACATTTATTTAATATTTGTTTTCATTTAAATATTCACTTGTTAATTTCTGTTTTAAGACATTTCTATTTTTTGGAAACTATGGATTAAATAATTTAATTTTAAATAGTACACATTAAATTCAGAACAATATTTTATTTTATTCACAGTAAACATGACCTGCAACCAGGAAGCTATGTCCCACTTACGATGGATGCTTCAAAAAGATATTCTTGGTCAAGACATGTTTTTGATAGGAAAACCTGGGCCTCTCAGGCGGCGTTTAGCTTTAGCTTATTTGGAGCTTACTAATAAATCTGTTGAGTTTGTTTCATTGTCTCAAGATACTACAGAAGCTGATTTGAAACAACGCAGAGAAATTATTGGAGGCACTGCAAAGTACATCAACCAAGTAAATTTTATTTTAAGTTGTAAATATTAGTTTTGTCATAAATAATTCTTATACAATAGAATTATTCTTATAGAGTGCTGTTAAAGCTGCAATTGAAGGGCATGTATTAATTCTTGATGGAATTGAAAAAGCAGAACGTAATGTTTTACCAATTTTAAACAACTTACTCGAAAACCGTGAGATTCATTTAGAAGATGGTAGATTTTTAGTAGCACCCAAAACATACGATAAATTGTTACAAGTAAAAATACAAAATTGTTGAATACTTTTATCAAAATAATGTAATATACTAATATGCGTGTACCTATTCACATAGGAACATGGTCTAGAGCATATGATGAAATGGAATTTGGTTCGTGTTAGTGAAGATTTCTTTGTTATTGCACTTGGTTTGCCAGTTCCTACATATAATGGCATTCCACTAGATCCTCCTCTACGTTCTCGATTTCAAGCTAGACATATCATGACACCATCTTATACGGTAAGATAATGTTTATTAATTTTATACTCTGCTTCATAGTAGAATACCCTGGGCGGCTACCTGTTTCCGTCTGGCGGTGTGCATCTACCACATAGTGGCATAAGTAGTGACCAATAAAGGGTGAAAAAAGTGGGCAGAACCAGTGTATTCTACTTTTGAGATAGAGTATTAGTGGCATAGACAGAGGTCAGGGGTGTTTAAGCCCCCTCCCTTTCATAAACCTGGTTATGCCATTGTAGGGCAATTATAATTTCATAAAAAAAACATAAGTTTAACATTAATAAATTTATACATTTTTACATAATATTTTAAAACTATGACTTAAGTGTTAAATTTTTTTTTTATTCAGAATACATCTCTTTAAACTTCAAGATATTTTATGGTTTAACAGAAATAAAATATTTGTTTAATCAAACCAAATAACATTCTTAAAAACTGCAAAGATTATAACGTTTCAAGAATATTTTAATTACTAATCAAATAATAACTTCTAATACATACAAAATAAATATGTCATAATGAAATGAAAACTAGCTGTTTGTTAATTAATAATTAATAATTATATACATTTGATTGAATACATTTGTTTGTTTGTCATTATCACTAAATAATATTTAAAGATTCAAATTTTCTTAACATTATAAAAATATGTCTTAAAGTGAAGGTTCAAAATTACATTGATACATTTCACCATAATCAATGCACAATACTTATGTTAACAGGATCACTATACAAACTGATATATATCGTATATAATATTTTTTTATAGCTAGGTGTATCTATAAATGATTTTTCAACTTTGTCGATTTTAGTTTTAACTATTACCGGTGTCCGGTGGATATAAAATTACAAGCAAACTACAGTTATTTGTTCTCTTCTTGTTGACAATTTGTTGTGTGTCGTAACTATTTTTTAAAACAAATGTCTTACTGACTAATCATATCAACTACAAAACTAACTTACTACAATACTAAAAGACGTACATGTAATTTGACATGTTTGAGACCATAGTATTATAGCGAGACATTTATTTTGGCTTGTCTTCTATTTCATTTGTTCAACTCAAGTTCTACTTTTCATAATATGGTTGTATAAGTAATTTTACTAAATTAATTAAATAAATAATTTCTAATTTTGCCAACACCGATGCTTATAAGAAATTTTTAAATTTTAATCGTCCTTATACAAATCATAAGCCAGTTTATCTTCATCAAACATAGGTATTACCATTGATTATAAATACTAGTATTTATAATCAATGGTATTACAAGTGCTTGAATTGAGGGAGGCAGAGTCCCTCTTCTTTTTAGGAAATATTTAAGTGTACCCCTTCTAATTATATTCTTATTAATATGACATTAAAAATATATTCTCTGGTAGGTACTCACATTTTTTTTTTACATTTTTGCATCCCCTTCTAATTTTTCTCAATTCAGGCACTATGCTAGTACTATTTCATGCTTTAGAAGTTTAGAAGGTAACTATCAGGTAAGACAGTGAAATTAAAATGTCTACATTTGTTGTTAACCTTTTATTAAAAGCATGAAAGCATGTCATCACAATACAGATACAAAAAACTCGTGCCCCAATAACGGGGGAGGGGGCCCCTCCTAGCTACTGAGTCGAGACGAATAATTTTTGAAAGAGATTTCGTGTAAGTATCTACTTAAATATTACACTCTGAAAAACCGGACTTCCTAGTAACATTCGTAGTCGTGGGTGATTTTACCATTATCGGCCGTGGTGGCTGGACCACCACCCTGCATTACGGATGGCATGTGGACGTGCAATTCGGTTTTGTGCCGACTCTTTACGCATGTTCTCGTCGTCGTCGTCGGCCTCTCGTTGTGGATCACAATCGCCTGCCGATGTTCGGACCTAGGGCTATTGCGTTCCGGGATCGAACAGGTCTTGACAAGCGCCGGGCGCCTGCAGCCGCGAGTGTCGATGCCCGGCGCCGACATGGGTTTCCGGCGGGCATCTAGCTCCACCGACGGCTTCTGCAACCACTGCAACACGCGTTCCACGTAATTTTCGTCGTCGTTGCAATTGTATTCACTGCAGTCTTCGTCATCGTGGTCATCGACTATCCTCGAGCTCTGCGTCCCACGGTCCACGTGCGTCCTCCGGAGCTGGAGTCGTTTTTCTTTTTCGGGCGATTTGTCGTCGTCAGACAACAAGACGTGCCTTACGCCGCTCACCCACGTGGTCCGAACCACAAGTCGTCCGCACGACGATTTCCAGCGGAAAAACTCGTACGGGTCCGCGTCGGCCGTCTTCATAATCGCAGTCGTAGTCGGCACTCGGCAGTTCCTAGAACGATCCTACTCATGAGCGCACGAGACGCCGACTGAACCTGCACTTATAAGTTATTTTATTATTATTATTATTATTATTATATCCGAATTTAGAATCGCCGTACACATTTGTGTAAACGTCTTGTGTGCGCGTGTGTGTTGTGAATGACAACCCCCTCATCGCGAAGCCAACGACTTATAGACATGCACACGCCATCGTGCTCCCCACCCATGCATCCCCTCGAAGAGAGACGCCCATGGCTAAGTCGTCCTTCGTTTTATATTTCCCTGAAACGCGTATCGCGCGGTTACGGTCGTCGCCGGCATGCAGCGGGGTGGTGTATATACCATAGCCTCTTTTTTAATGTGACAGTGTCATTATTATACGGTTTTCAAAAACGAATAAACGTAGATTATATATAGGTACCTCCGTAGGTAACGTTTATAGAGGTATGAATAAAAAAAAATAGAAATTTCCGTGACGATAAACGGAAACAACGCAGTCGTAGAACGAATAATAAAAGACAGCACACATTAAATTTTATACCGCATTATTTTACGTTTTTTTAATCGTTCGTAATTTTTTACTGTTGAATGCAATATTTATATATTATATTATATGTGTGTGTGTGTGTAATGTCATGCGAATACCTAAATTATTATTAACTATTTTTACGTTCATCGGTTATAACATTTTCGCAATCACACGGAATTTCTTTGAAACTCTTTTCGTTTATTTTAATTATTATTCCTACGTGTTTATATGACGAGAGATTATAATCGCATAAAAAATAAAAATATAAAAATTGGGTTATTAATAATATAGTATTTACTATTTTATAATATGTCTATTGGTGATGGTCGCATTCCGCATTCGCCATTAAAAATGCAAGGTTCGAACTTAAAAAGTGGTTAAAATTGACGTGCTTCTATAAAATGTGTAGGCATATTATAATAACAATATACCTGCGAGATAAACAAAAAACGGTTTAATTAAAATATAATTACTTTTTAAACTTTAAATTAAATCAGATAAACTCAGGAGACAATAAATTTTCACTAGTTCACGAATACTCGTATTTTTATTACATGCGTAATTTTAAATATGAAAACTCGAAAACCAGGGAAATCGCTCTGCTGTATAGTAGGCGCTGAGTGTACCTCGTCGTTGAGTTGGTCACTATAAATATATTAAATTTGAATTCATCACTATTTATATTCCTATAAATGAATAAAAGTAATTTATTTTTTATATTAGTAATATTGTAGTTTGAATTAGTATTTGCCAAAAACATAGCATTTATTGTTATATTATCTATTGTTATTAGCTAAAAAGCCAATACCTACGTACCATAGAACAGTGTGAATATATTTGTGGTACCTATTTAGAAAAATTCTATTATAAAATGATAATTAAGATACAGTGGAATGTCTCGAGTTTTCACAGTTTATATTTTTTGAATAAAATTACAGAAAGAAATGACTAAAATGATATTTTTTTTTTTATAAGTATCCAATTACACAAAAATTTTGTTTTCGAACAATCATAGGAATTTTATTTGGGTTTTACTATTTTTTTTTTTTAAATTTTGTAAGGAAGACAGGACGTTTTTAAATTAATAAAACTATTTTAAATCGTGGCCAATGAAATATAAGCGATTAAATTTGTCTTGTACAAAATATATTGATATTTATTTTAAGTATTAACATACGAATTACGAATACTAATTTGCCGTGGTCGAATGCTGTAACTAGGGAGGAAATGTTACTAATTAATAATTTTACAATTAATATAAACATTTTGGTTTAGTTTGTTTTGGATATATTTATTTTTGTACAAACTATAAAGTAGGTTTTAATTCTAAATTAATATACGTCATTATAGTAAAATACCTAAAGTAAAAATGCAGTATAGGTACGATGTACCTAAACCTAAGTTTCCAGCGACTGCGGGTCTATAATAGACGAAAACTCATAAAATATTCTCGACAAGGTGCGGCTGTGGTTTAATGTTTTCATCGGCAGTTTTATATATTTGTAAATAGTGATTACCTATCCTAATGTTAAAACAATCAAAACAAAAAAAGTTTTTGAAAAAATCATGTTCCCAAGCCGTTAAACTAATGGCAATTATAGAGTGGAAAAAGTCGTCAAACGAAACATTGTAATCAACCACCAAATTGCAGTTCTTATATTTTTATATCGCCTCTATCAAACTCCTGTATAATGCCTATAGCGTGACTAAAGCTATTATGTGCAGGCTTGTCTAGTACCTACCTCAAAAGTTTCCCGAAATGAATTTATCGTTAATGACTCTATTATTTATTTGTATTAGTAATAATTAAATTATAATTTAATGTCTAGAACATGCTAAACGACCTGATTGCCGAGTACCCGACGGCACCCAAGGAAAAATTGGAAAATGTGTTGTCCTGCGCCTACGCTCTGGCGTCGCCAGAGTCCAGCGAATTGGGCTTGCACGATTTCCCTATAGAAAAAGTGCCCATTGTCGCCAAACTAATCGTAAGTACAAAACACATAATTCCGAATATAAAATATATAACAGTAGTGAAGGAATATTAAACCTCAACAGCGCCCCTGATATATTATCTCTTATACTATTTGTTTTTTCTCTCTGACCCATGCGCAACATACCAAATTTACATTTAGCAGAACCAACCCTGTGTTATTACTTTTAATATTGGAGTAAATTCACCTATTATCAAACTTTAGGTTAACAATATTATCTATGTCCCTAGGTTGGCTATTTTATGATAGATACATTTTTATGTAAATTATAAGCTTGTAAATTATTACAATTTAAAAATGCTTTTACAGACAATTTTCTTAGTTTAAAGTTTGGTAATTGGTGAATTCACAGATTCACTGTAATAATAAAAGTAAAAACACAGGGTAGGTATCGGTGCCTACTGCTGAACATAAATGTTGCTCGTGGGTCAGAGAGAGAAAACAAATGCTGATATCCTCTTAAGAGGACTCCACAGTATTGATACCCGCATGTGTTGTTTCCATCTAGTGATGTAGGTAGTCCTAAAAATGTTTATGGGTATATTCCTTGATCTTTGTAAAAAATAACTTGGGGGGCTAACCTACTTACCACAATTTTCGTTAAGAGGTATGTCGTGTACCCTACACTACACGCGGTGGTGTAACTGGATAAAAATCTAGGGGGGGGGGCAAAAAAATAACCTCCCGTTCGGCCGTTCACGTAGTCATAATCGCGATTTAAAGATAATAACGTGTTCACTGTTCACGAATCACATATAATAATAGTCACGAATAATGCGATTATTGCGATAACAGTAACACTGACAATACGTCAACACTCAACATAATATGTATTCAACAAGAGAAACCTAAAATAATTAATATAAACTTTTATAAAGTAATTTGAGGAAAAAAATATTTTAGTATTATAATATTATGTTAATAGTCTTGTTAAGAATCCTTTTTAAATGTGGATTATTTGGAGGGGCAAAATGATACTTTTGCCCCCAACATACATTTCTGGGTGGGGCAAGTGCCCCCCCCCCCCGAAATTACGCCACTGAGCCTACATCTCTGGCTCCATCTTACAGACGTACAACATAGCAAAATTACGTTGACAATAATCCATTTAACTCATTTATTTTTAAAATTAGAGTGAACTAACCCATTTTAAAATATAATTATATTAGCATTGATTATAAACACTAGTATTTATAATCAATGGTATTAGGTAATATTATTATTATCTAGATTCTAGGACATCCGATGGCTTTTTTTAATTTTAATTTTAAAATAAGTTATATAAGCCAAATGAACAAAAAATGTATAATTTTAAAATGCTCATAACTTTCTTCGTAAGTACTTAAAATATTAATAAAAACCTCAAAGATGCCCTATATATAGTTCCCTAAATCTTAAACCTAATCATATAAACCGCAACGTGTTGCGGTCGAACCAGACTGCTGTAACCGGACAGCGTGTTCACCCTATAATAGCCAATAGTTCTATTAATTCTAATTTTAAAAATGACTGAGTAAAAATATGGATTATTATAAACGTATAATTTGGTGTTGTAACTTGTAGCTTGTAGGTACACTAATTATTGTACGTTTGAGGCTTTGAGCCACTATATGCGGGTAGACGTCAGCTGTACCGATGATGATGATAAACAATAACTAGGTAATATTTTTTAATACATTGAATTTTTATTGTAGTTTATTTAAGTTATTTACAGTATTTATGAGTTATGACACACGTCACAAATTTTTTTTAGCTATGCGTTAGCCTTTGGTGTAGGTAATTTAAGTATTTCCACTTTTTAATCAAATATTATGCCCCTATGGCCCTATACAGAGAAGGGCATTATTTTAATGACATTTTAATTTTTATTTAGATGATTATTTAGATAACATTTTATTCGCCTAAATTATAATTCCGATGATTCATTCACAATTATTCGAATAAAAATGTATTTGAAAATTATTCGAATAAAATTGTATTTGAAAATTATTCGAATAATTTGAAATAATTATTATTCGAGTAAAAATTGATTCTACTAAATTTCAAACATATAGTTGTTCGAATAATTTTCGTTTATTTTATTTGCGTAAACATTATGGTTGGTAATTTAAAACAGGCTCATATTATAAACAATATTTGGCATTGTATTTTAAGTTACACGATTGTAAATCTTATTTTATTCGGAAAAATAAAATATATTATACCTAAATAAACGATTTATGCATCTGACGTAGCCGAGTAGGGAATGGTCTCGAACCCATAATATACATCATATACTGACATACTCAAATTATATTATTGTCGTACCACCTGACACTGAGATTCGCGTGTATTCCATACAAACTGCAGCCGCATATTTCAGTACAACAACCCATCCGTGTCGCCAAATAATGTGCTGAAACGACTCTATCCATACGAAAGTTTCATGAACCCGGACGGTAAAAGATCCGTTAACGGCATATTGTCGTCTTTCTGTCCCGAAAATGGAGACGAAGCGATCAATCGTCATGTCACGTCCGTTGGAAGACCGGACAACCAGAACGAGGCCGAAGTCCTTCTAGACAATTCCAAACGTTTTAAGGTAGGTACAACAGAATAGATAATAATATTACATCGTCTACTGTGAGTTACATGACATCGCTTTTTGACTTGTTTTAATAACATAATATTATATTACACTTAGGTCCCTTCCGGAAACGCGACTTCCATAAACGTCGCTGCAGTATTTCCGGAATTCGTAGACACAAATTATCAAAACGCTGTACTGTCGGATCTCGCCCTCAGTCATTCGGCAGCCGACATATGCATCATTGGACCAAGAGGCAGTGGAAAGACGGCAATCGTGAATAGGTTTGCGACCACATTTCACTACAACGTGGAAACCGTTTCCCTGTATCAGGTTTGGATCAAAACAATTTTATTCATTTTTTTTTTTTTTAATTATATTTTTTTCCACAGGATTTGACGGCAAGAGATTTAATCCAACAAAGAACCACACTACCAAACGGCGACACTGTTTGGAAGTACAGTCCGTTAGTGGTTGCTGCCATCGAGGGAAAATTAGCCGTCCTTGATGGTCTTCATAGACTACATTTGTCAACATTGTCTGTTTTACACAGGTTAGTTTTATTGTACATTTGTACCTACTTGAAATATTTATCTTAACATTTCATTGATCTGATCATACCTATAAAGTATAAACTCTAATATAGTAAATAGTAATAAACATCTTTTATGTTTGTAAGACTTATTCAAGATCGAGATCTTCAACTTCATGATGGCACTAGATTGTTAAGATCAGATAGATATGACAAACTGGCAAAAAAGTTAGGAGTAGATGTTATGGACAAATCAAATATTATTCGGGTACATCCAGCTTTCAGAATTATGGCACTTGCAGAACCACCTGGTTAATATTGTTTTAAAGCAAAAAATATATTGCTTATATTGTTTAAAATATTTTGTACATGTTAGGTGGCACCATTCCACAGTGGATCACTCCGGAAGTACTAAACATGTTCATATTTCATGAGCTTAGACCTTTGTCCGCTGTTGAAGAATTGAAAATTGTACAACATCTTGTAAGATTTGATTTTTGAATCATTTAGTATTTAAGTTCATGTTTAATATGTAGGTAAAGAAGAATAATACATTTTTTTTTCAAGTATCCAAATAGTGTAAAACCAATGAAAAGATTAGTGGCTGTTACGAAAAAACTTCGAGAATCATCTGATATTTACTTGAATTCTTTGGCTCCATCTTTATCTACACGTCAATTGTTACGAATCTCAAAAAGACTTGATAAATATCCTGATTCAGACTTTTACAGTATTGTAAACAAAGCTTGTTTATCTCAGTATGTTTTTTTTTTACTTGATATTTTGGAATAATTTGAATAATTTATGCATGTATTAATACGACATTTTTTTCTTTTGCTAATAGATTTTTACCACAACTAACAAAACAAATGCTCGAAAAAACATTGTACAGTTGCAGTATTCAACCAATATCTGAAAATGTAGAGGACTCTTCAATAAACTGTAAATATGACGATGACTACTTAACTATTGGTAATACAACTATTGCTCGATATAAAACTAGCGCATCTAGTAAAGTTCCAAATATTTTATTCTACGATTTACCTCAAGTAAATATACATCTGAAAGTATTATAATATGTTTGTGTAATTATAAAAAACTTCTTCTTTAGCATCTGAAACAACTAGAACTAATGCTACAAGACTTTGTTTTGGGAGAACATCTTTTGTTAGTTGGAAACCAAGGCGTTGGTAAAAACAAACTGGTTGACCGATTTTTACAACTAGTAAATAGGCCTAGAGAATACATTCAACTCCATAGGTATGAGTTTATTAATTTAACTTTTTTTTTATTATTTATCAAGGATATATTTTTTTCCAGGGATACGACAGTACAATCACTGACTAGTCAACAAACAGTAATTGATGGTGTTTTGCAAATTGAAGATTCGCCATTAGTCAAAGCTGTTAAGAATGGTTACGTTTTAGTTATAGACGAAGCAGACAAAGCTCCAGCTCATGTGACGTGTGTATTGAAAAATCTCGTAGAAACTGGCAACATGAGACTTGCTGATGGTAGACAAATTATTAGTAATGCTAATATTGTAAATGATGACAGTATGATTGTACTTCATCCAGACTTTCGAATGATAGTCTTAGCAAATCGCCCAGGATTTCCATTTTTGGGAAATAACCTATTCAGCACACTTGGTAAATTTTTACTATGGTAATTGTTAAAAATAAAAAATGTACTAATTGATGAATGTTTTGTTCTAGGTGATGTATTCAGTTGTCACATTGTTGATAATCCTAGCCGTGAATCTGAAACACAGTTGTTGAAAAGTTATGGTCCCGATGTTTCTGTAGAAGTTATTGATCAAGTAATTGCTGCTTTTGGAGATCTGAGACAGCTGTTCGATCAAAACTTAGTCTCGTACCCATATTCAACTAGAGAAGCAGTTAATATAATTAAACATTTACAAATTTATCCTCAAGATACATTATTAGATGCCATCAGAAATGTATTTGATTTTGACTGCTATTCCAAAGAAGCGCAAGAAGTAATCACAAATGTTCTCAACAAACATAAATTACCAATAAAACTATCACCTTGGGCAGGTCCAACTCGTAAGTAATTCAATCAATTTTAAGAGTCCAATTTTGTATGAACTTAATTGTTACAGAAAAAAAAAATCTACAAATCACTGTGGAAAAAGAAAGTGGTCTTGATGTTTCTAGCCCAAAACACGGTAAAGTGGATGAAAAAAACGAACCTCATGTAGGTGGAAATACTTGGGCTGGTGGTACTGGCGGCAGGGATACAGCTGGACTAGGTGGAAAGGGTGGTCCTTATAGGCTAGATGCTAAACATAAAGTTTTTCAAGTAGGTTACATATTTACATTGATAGTTTTTAATTTATTTCTATGTTTTTTTTTACTATAATAATCATCAGTTTTCTAAAAAAATATATATGTATATGTTTACACAAACAGGTGTCTGACGCAGAGAAAGACGCAGTACCAGAACATGTCAAAGAAGCAGCAAGACAAATGGGTCAAAAGGCATACAAGGAACGTCTCAAAGAAATAGAAATGACTGAGTATGATGACAAAGTATACAATGAATACTCTTTACCAGTAAAAAACCAAGTAATATAAAATTTGTCTCTAAAATAGAATCAATTTTGTTAAAGTAAATACATCTGCTGTTAAGGTACAAGCATTGAGAGTGATATTGAATTCATTACAAGCCAAATCCCAAGAAAGACAATGGGTTAGGCATCAAACATCTGGTGAACTGGATGATAGTAAATTAATAGAAGGTAATGAAATTAAAATGCATTTTATTTTGAATGTTTTATATTATATTTATTAATTTACTAGGTGTTATTGGCGAACGTTCTATTTATCGGAAACGGGGAAATGTTGACCCACAGATTGGAGCTCCTCAGTTAAAACCAAAACGTTTACGGTTTATTGTAGATGTTTCTGGTAGTATGTATAGATTCAACAACTATGATGGACGTTTAGACCGTGAACTTGAAGCTGTCATAATGGTGATGGAAGCTCTTAGTGGTTTTGAAGACAAAATTAGTTATGATATTGTAGGACATTCAGGCGAGACAGAATGCCTTAAGTTTGTAGATAAATCAAATCCGCCCACTGATAACAAGCGACGACTAGATGTTATTAAAAAGATGCATGCTCATACTCAATTCTGTATGGCTGGAGATAATACTCTTCAATCTGTTATATATGCACAAAAAACCTTAGAAGCTGAGCGCACTGATTTTGATGAAGCTATAATTATACTATTATCAGATGCTAACTTATCTCGCTATAATATAAGACCTGATAGATTGGCTGCAGCACTAAATTTGAGTGAAGACGTTCAATCTTTTGCAATTTTCATTGGATCACTTGGTGATCAAGCAGACATGTAAGTAACTAACAATTTAACATGCATTAACTCATTTTATATCATATTTTTATGTACTTATCCCTGTGCTGAAAAATTCTTAAAAATTGAAAAATTAAAATATCAATGTACAACTCGATGTACAATTTGCACGTACGATGTACCTATAAAATAATACTTCTAGGAGATGCTGAATAAAAAACAATAGTTTAGTTGTAATGTTACCAGGTAATCATGACACCAATTGGCATTGTACATAGTGAACAAGTTAAAATATATATTAATTAATTCAAACAAACGTATTATGTAATTGGTGTTAAAAGTATTTAATATTATTATTTTAAGTTATAATTGTTATAGTATATTGATAAAAAGTATTTATTTATATTTTGTGTATTGCAGGTTAACTAAAAGCTTACCAGCTGGGAAAAGTTTTGTATGCATGGACCTCAAAAACATCCCACAAATCATTCAACAAATTTTCATGTCTTCTATTATGAGTGTTTTTTAATAAATTTGGTGTCGTGTTATAAAAGTTGTATGTGCCCGTAAATTGGTTATTGTAAATTATATGGTTTTAAGAGATAAAGGGATTGTAGTTACCAAATAATATAAATATAATAAATATTTATTACTCATATTATGTATATTGAATATAAATATTGCTGTGATAGAACTATTTTTCAACAATAAACTCTTCCAATATATTTTTTATCACTAGTATTTATTTATCATCCATATTTTTAATATAACTACTAATTATCACTGTCATACCTATATAAATTTCCTAGTGTTGAGCTTGATATTCTACTACAGTCTACATATGTATAAAGAAAATAATAATATTTGTATTGAATAGCAGAATAAAATGTCATCTCCTTTCTACAAATAAAAAGTTTAAACATTTAATGTTATCTATTGAAAAAAATGTGGATCGACAAAATTGATAAAAATACCTTGAAAATTGAAATTCAATGTATAACAAAAAGTTGGGCAAGTGTGTACTGCCTTGCTGTACATTAGGTGTCATGTGGGTCATCTTTATTGAGGCAGTGGCCAGTGGCCTATCTAGGGGAATTATAGGGTTTTAACCCCACCCCCCTCAATGTAAATTATTAAATAATAAAAAAAATTACTAAATATTCAAATATCAAATAATTATGTACAAATAAACCACAATAATTTAAATAAAATTACAAATAGTAACTGAACTAATGTGTATCGTTGACTAAATTGTTATAATTTTATTGAATAAAATCATTTTCAGATAAAAACAGTTCATCGTAATTCGTAATCCGTTTACCCTGCAAATGTGTCATTTTTAAGGAGTTGTGTTTAGGCAATTATTTCGTTCCAGCGATTACTGATCGACGATCGTCTTTGTGTGTGTAGTAAATTATCATTAGTGTTTGTATACTTCCCTTACCATCACCCGTGAACCCCATCAATTTACAATACATTGTTATTTCTTATCCGGTTTATGGTCGCACGCACGCACATGCACAAGTCATTTAATGTTTAGATCAAAATATTCCATACCAATATAATGGATGTGAAATAGCCGTCGCACTGACAAATATTAAGGTGCTTCTAATGGTTCGATTTAAAAAATGGAAAGATGTTTGTGTTGGTAAACAAGTTTACTTTGCATCGGTAAGAGCACTTTTTCAATTTTAGCAAATTCATAACGAGAATAAACATTTTATAAATTTATAAATTTTTAGTATTGAATATAATAATATATTCAAAAATATCTAAAATATAAAAAATATGCTCCCACCGATGCAAAGTAGACTTGTTTACCAACACAAACATCTTTACATTTTTTAAATCAAACCACTAGGAGTACTTTAATTTTTGTCAATCGCTAAGGTCGTTTTGATTAAAAATTAATAGGGTTAGCAGGGGCCTTAATAAAGAAAATTAATAAAAAAAAACCCCCGATGGATGGGAATTCTCAAACTCGTGTATAACTTTGAAACTAAGTCCGACTGACAAATTATGTTTGCATCATTGATTGTTCTTAACTCGTTGAAAAACAAAGGTTTCCTAAAATAAAAAAATTCATAACCGCATTTATAAGTCATAAACTATGAAACAAAATAATAGGTACCTTACATTTTTTTGGGGGGGGGGGGAATATGGCGCGAAAAGTTCAAATACGGCCCTGCTATACGTTTTATATATTATTCTTTTTTGAATTATAACAGAATAAGAAAATCGTTAATTGAAAATTAAAATTCAAACTTTTACAGTAAGCTTAAGAAATGTAATTTGCTACAAATTCACATCCTCAGTAGTTATCACGGCTTTAGATAGAATTTATCTAAAGCCATGGTAGTTACTTTTCGAGGACCAACAGAGAGATGATCTTTTCAGTTATCACAATAGATTTGTAACAGTATAATATTTTCCACCCTTGTGGCTGGCTTGTGTCAGTTTAATAAGGGGCATTATATAGGCAAAATACCTGCAGTTACTCTTAAGCCGTTTTGGCGTTTTGGAATTTTCCTCCAATTAAGAATAAAAATAATGTTTATATTTAACACAAAATTTTAATAACTTACTATTATATTTAATATAATAGTAAGTTATTAAAATAGTTATGGCAAACAAATATTAAAAAAAAAAAAATGTACCTATGAATCATTAACAATTATCTATGAACATGTATATATATTATAATGATTTTACTTTTTATACTACTTTGAAATTTCTTCGTTTTGAAATGAAATAATTCCATTGTCGATGGCTTCACTTCGTTTGTGTTTGTTTGGTATAGTCTAGATTTTTTGGAATATGAATAATTCTTATTTTAATTTTTTGAATTTGTTTCACAATATTGAGCCTTATCAATATATTTGGGTTTTCTTTATAAGAATAACAGCTAAATATTTTAATATTTGGAGGAGAATGGACATAGTATTAGTTAAAAAAAAAAAGATCCACCAGTGGCTACTCGTTATACTTGTACACTCGTAAATGATAATTATTAAAGGGTGAGTGCGGTTGTATAATATATGGATAGGTGCCGGCTATAATATATCTACACACACACACACAACACACACAGTAATAGTCAATGACACAGCAATCAAAAATAAAAACGAATTTTTTGCTCAAAGCACGTTTTAAAAAACTCTCATGCCTCATAAAGTGGTCTGTTTTCGTTATTAATTTTTTTTTTTTTATTAGAAAGTTGATTAATTTTTACAGTGCGTTATACCAAATACATTCAATACTTATATATTTTATATGTATTTATTTATCAAGCAAATAACACAAATATCTGTCATAAAATATTAGGTACCTACGGCCTACGCACTATTATAGTCATATTACCAAATAGTTTACAGAACTCCAACAATTCCTATCGTCCGTGCTTATGACGAATATTGTCGAAATACTGTATAGCTACTGTAGGTATGTGCACTAGTGTACCTCATAAACATGTTTCATAATAAAATTAATTCTTGGGAACAATTTCAAAATTGTAAAACAAAATTATATTTACTTGGTACTTACTTGATAAGGACTGATTTTAGGCATGGAACTAAAAATAAAAAGGGGAGGGGGCTAGACAAAAAATGTACTTAAAGTACATAAAATCATATAGGCATTAAGTTTAAGTTTTTATAGTGATACAAATATTCATCATACATGCGTCATATTATAATACGATATAACAAATAATAACAAAAATAATAATTATTATTATTATTACAACGACAACAAACTTTATAATAACAAAATTACCTTTATTGCATAGTATATAAGTGATATAACCAATGGTAGGTAATATGAATACTAATATATAATATAATGTATTTGTATATAGGTATAGTAGGACAATAGATACTATAGTGGGGTACTACATGTCTACATTGTATAACTTTTCGAGCCTTCATTTCAACTTCTACTTATCTGCACGAGGGCCCTCGCCTAAAAGACACCACTTCTCACTGTCTAAGTTCCCCAAAGACCATGTGGAGTAGGCATTAAACCTTTTTGGTTTTTTGTTCCCCCGCTTGTCTTCCATACACATATTTTTGTGTGGGATCCTGAGTCGGAGCCTGGAAGTTCACGAAATTGAATCTATGATTAACCAACTTATATTACATGGATTTCCCATGTTGTTACAGGTAAGCACAAGCTTTCCAGCTGTCAAAGAAAAATTGTATGGAACCTGATCTGAAACAGTTTGTTTGTTTGTTCTTTGGATTTAATTATTAAACAACCCATACCATATAATATGTGATAAATAAGAGTATAAGACTAAGATTTAAATTGTAAATGGCTTTTTAAAAAATGTATTTATGACCTAAAAACTCTAAAAAATGCCCTAAACAAATCTTCGGAATTTACCACGGATATCTTATATAGCTATATAGACAAGGCTGGGCATTAACGAGTTAAAAGTTAAAATTAAGTTAATATTAATTAAGTAAATTAACTCGTTACTTTTTTTTTCCTAACTTACCATAACGAGTTAAAACAAAATCGTTAATTTGCCCAGCCTTGCATATAGGTACTACCTACTACCTCGCTTATATTATATAGTTTTGTATATATTTTTTTTTTCATAATATTACTAGGAAAAAAATAAAATGAGCACTTAAACATCAAAAATCTCGAAAAATGCAAAAAATACCCCTGCAACATAATATCGTTTTTAGAATAGTGTATTCCTGCAGGAACTCATTTATATCTTAGATATACAGATGACTTGATTGTGTTAAGCAATCTAGAAAAAAGATACAAATGCATCAAAATCCGAGCCTTAGTAATCAGCAGGGCTAGGGACTTTATGTGCTTAAAATCTTAAAAAATATGCGCATACCTACATATGCACCAAAATATATAAAAATATGCGCTTTAATAGATTAATATGCATTTATTTTTAATTAAAAAATACATATTATTCAAATTTAATTTTAAAAAAACAGCCTGGACAATGTATAATTTTGCCTACATTGCCCACCATAATCGAGCAGTACCATAATGCCCGGGCAATGTGAACATTGCCCGAAAGTCTACTTTGCCCGTAACATATATTATCTTCTATTGTTATAAAGTGGTAAGGTGATAACATTTTCGAGCGCCAGGGCGTGAAAATATTTATCCTGAGTCATTTTTGCTGTGGAACAATGGTCAAGAACGCTTTAATGGTATAAATGTATAAATGTATAATATTGAATTAATAACTTAAATCAAAGCCATTATTATGTGCATGAAAAAAACTAGAAAAGCACGGTCGCGTGTTTAGTGCTTGTAAAAATCTAAAAATCTAAGAAAAAAATACCTGTTGTAGGTGTATACATTTCTATAAAATTATTTAAGTGGAACGATAAACGTCATACACCCATATATAATAGAAATTATACATATTTCAGCTTCAGTGATAGACGCTATAGTCATCGTAAATGTATTATAATATAAAAATAATCATACTATTGTACAATACAATATAATAGGTATAATAATATAAAATTTATAAACCGTACAGCACGT